GTCGAACCCCAGGAGCTTTGGGTTAAATGGGGAGCCTAATGACCATTCAGCAGCCTTCAGGTTAGAATCCAATGGTCTGTGAATCTTAACTTCCGTCAGACCTCAATATTTCGCCATGGTTAGCTAATGCCATCGTTGAGCATCATCTGCGTCCCATCCGATTCGGTGGACTCCCACCGACCATGACTTCTCATTAGAACTTCAGGTCAATCATGTTATCGTCACTATTAGGCAAAAAGACGGATATTCAGATTTCGAATCTATACAGTGCTTCTTGGTCTTCCATGATTCTTCAGTTCGTGATGAAATGTGGAATAAAATTAATCACACCACTTACAAATCTAAAATCTGAATTTGATTATTGTTCACTTAAATAAGTGATTATCTAATTTCACAATTATAAAGTAGTAGTATTATGAACGTGATGTATTTTATATGAAGAAATGCTAGACAGACATTGCTATTATTATAACCATTATTTTGTGACATCGGATTATAACACAGTAATTAGGGTTAACATACTTCATATTTGTAAACAAAGTATATGATAATAAGGTGGAATGCACACATATGTAAATCATATTAATATAAAGGTTGGAGAAGGTAATCAAGGTAGAAGGCTAAAAGACTAAATAAATAACGAAATGTAATATTTTAACAGAGATAAGGATAAATGCATCATCATTACAACAATGGATTCGGATTCATATCATTTAGAATCTGTAACCATAGGTGGAGTGAACTCTAGCCAGCCAGCGCTTGCTACGCTGCCCTACTTTGGCCACAGCTCTGCGAAATCATACGACATCTTGGTTCAATCACCTTTTGCTCTGCTCTAACTTTATTCTACATCTACTAATGTAGTCATTTCAATACAATGGGTTGGTTAAAGTGTAATCGATTGATTAACCTATCCAGTTTAGCAAACTACTTAATCTAACGTGGACAATCCTTAGATTAGTCGTAGTTGTAACTCATTTGTATAAGTCCTTACTTTTCAAAAATAAGATTCGGAAACATTTATTTCCCGATACGAATTTAAAACAAGCAATAAAGGTTAATAAAGCAGGATTTAATGAATTCATCACATTTCGGTAGAACTCGTCAGCTGAATACTCTACATACACGGATGTATACTTTTGAAATTACATTGGGAGATATAGGACTGAATACTTTACATACACGGATATATATACTTTTGAAATAACATTGGGAGATATAGGACTGATAAGTAAATAAACTACATTGAATTAGTCATGCAGAAAGACAGGTGCAAATGTTTTTCCAGGTCATGTACAATTAGATAAGGGGAGAGAGAGTATGGGAGATCAAAATTAAGATAAATTGCATTACGCTTCAATTACATCACTTAGATAAACAATTAGACATTAGAGAATTTAACAAGAATTGCACCAGAGGGATGTCAAAAAGATTCGCACACTCAGAATTGTGCGTCGGTGGTACAGCGGTTAGGACGCTCGCCGACCATGCACATGGTCCGGGGTTCGATCCCCGGCCACAGACGCACTCCTTTACCTCGCTAAGCCAGAAATAATGCTGGTGAAGAGGAAGGTTGGGCATGAGGCTAGTAACCCCATCCTGTAAAAATAAACACTGCTACAGAAACTTCAAAGCTCTAGCTTGAAGCCCTATGTTCCACTGGGAACGTGAAGGAATAAAAAAACATCCAGAATTTGTACTGAGGGTATAAGATATTTTGCCAAGCTACTCAAAAGACATAGAATTAAAGGTGAGCTACTATTTCAGCACATTTATTGTAATGCATTTGAATAGCTTAGCTATATGTGTTATGTTGTCACCCTCCCCTTTATTTTGATTAAAGCATCCAGTTAACTCATATACACTTAATTTGACTCATTTTTTTAAAGGATCAGATTAGTGTAGTGGTTTGCACCTGTTAGACTCAGTTTACACCAGTTGTTCGTACATATGGAAAGTTTACGCCAATAAATATACGTTGGTGAAATATATATATATATATATTGTGTACAAGGATCAAACTAACATTCTGTTTCACATTTTAAGCCTAATAATTGTTCTTATCCAGAGAAATCGTTTTACACATAAACCCATTTCAGTAAGTTTTTCTCCGGAATTGATTAATTCAACCAACAACCAAAAAAAGTCACACATACCACCTGACAAGACCTTTTAGTAAGATTCAATAAATTTCAGGTTAAATAATGGATTAACATGTGACCAGAAAACTAATCTTTTGTCTATGACCAAATGATTTTTTAAATTTAATTCTGGTGATTATATTTCCTAGAAGGAGAATGAAATGAATCTGATAGTTACACCACAGAGTGTATACTCTCTCCTTTAGTAAACGACTTGTTGCTAGTAGTCTTTTAGAGTTAATGTGTGATCTCACTAAAGTTTTCAGTGAAATATTGCAAATATAAGTTCATTTCTAAGCGTGTTCAGGTATATTTCAACCAACCATTGATTTTTTTTCACAAATCCATTCATGTAAACGGTAACTACCTGCGCGACTGAGAATAATAGTTGCAGGTTTTCTGGGTTTATCCCACTTTCTACCCAATTTATAACTCTTCTGATCGAAACCTGCTTTAACCAACAGGACCTGTTTATACATCGTTGACGCTCTTCTCATCTGATTTAGCAAATTAATTGACGACTTAATGGCTTGTCTGTATGTAGCCTGCTAATGACTGTTAGACATTTCAGACACTATTCTAATGTATCAAATACATTAGAATGTGTCCAAATACTAGTTCATTCATAATCCTATGTCTTTTGAATAATTTAGCAGCATATCGTTTACTGTCAATCCTCCTTTAGTTACAAATATCCACAACTATTTCAACTTTTACACCTTTCACTTTCTCCTGTAAACGTTGGTTGTCAAACATTTCCGTTAAGGTTCCTAATCGTGTAAAAGCTGTAAATCTTCACACTCAAAATCATTAGCAATAGGAGGAATACATTTTGCCTAAATTTCATAATTTGATAACCTAAACCAAGATTCACATTCTACGTGAAGTTTGAATAAAGAAAGGATGTATTTCTTTTCAAGTATTTGAAGTAACAAACTTTTACTCATCCCTTACGAACTTTCCTTATGGAATCTAACTATTATTCTCTTGTCGTCTTTACGCAGTTTGGAGTCGCTAAAGCTTGTTGCATATATGTCATCTTGTTATTGGTTGTTTAGTTTGATAACTACGATTTATTTGTCGTTCGACGATTCAAGGTTTTGATGGATAGCTTAATAAATAAATCCGTACACAGATATTGAAGGGTAAAGGACTTCAAAAGCTGAGTTTTCACGTACATCTAAGTTACTAGTTAAATTGATGATGTTGATGACGATTACAAGATGATATAACAAGGGGAAGATTTTATTTGTTTTTTCACCAAATTCAGTTCAAACGCATCTTATTTCACGATTCTTTGTTTTGATTCGACCTCATTTGATTATTTTTGACCCACCCCATAACCCACTACTTTGTCTACTGATGCAACACATTTGAAAAAATTGGGCCATTTGTTTTACCATTATTGATTTTTCACTTTTCCATATTTCGTACATTTTTAAAGTGTGCTTTAATGCCATTCTATGAAAACATTTTTTATTCTTTCCGACTTTCTGATATACTTGACTCGTTCCATAAATCGCAGACAAAAACTCTAAGTGATATCGTTTCATGTTAAAAATTTCCGTGTAATTCTCGGTACAGTTAACTACTGGAAATCCCTGTGTGACTGACTGACTGGTTTTAACATAGAACTTTGCACAGAAGTGCACCAGTTCGAGTTGCCACACTTCATGTAGCTCACAGAGGAAGACAAAAGTGAGAAGAAAAGAGATTCAAAAGAACGACAATAAACAGAAATGTTCAGGAGGAAGAATAATAACATGGAAAAACGACAGGGTTTAATGGATATAGGAGGTCACAAAGAGTGAATGCGTCTGGGCCATTGAGAACGATTAGAAATTCCTATGCAAAACTGTTTAGCCTTAAATGGTATATACTTTTAAAAGTATATATGCTTACGTAACAATGTATACTGTGACTTGTGCTTGGAATCTTATTAAATCTATACTTTAAATGGTATTATGCAATATTTCAAACTGAATTGTTAATTTATTGTAAGACAGAAAGGTATTAATTAATTAATTAAATGTGACCGATTATTGAAGCTTGTACCATCGTTTCTAATGATTGCGATCCTGCAGCTGACTATGGTATAAATAATAAATCACCGTAAAGTTACACTAATAACGTCACTCATGTTTGTGTGCCAAGTTATGAGCTACATTCATCATAATAATAGTGAAATCTTTGGGTTGGTCAATCATAGAAAGATTAAATGATATCCTGACTATTGACCAAATGGTTGGAAACTAGTTGGATGATCAGTATCGTCCCTGTCTTTTAAAATAAATCAGCGTGATTAGTCATATTCAAATGGTGAAATCAAAGTGTGCCTTTAACAGTTTGACTCAAGAAGGGGATGAAATTTAATCGAAAATTGGATTTCGTAGTTATTCAGTTATCACTATTGGTGGTTGATGTAAGTTACAGGATTTCATTATGAGCTGACACAGGTTAGAGAACCTGGGAGTGCTGGACAGCTGACTTAAGGTGTTACTAGTTCGTCCAAGCCAACTAGGCAGAAATCGGGTGCTTTGAAGTGATTCAGCCCTCTGAGCTAAGTCAAACCGACTACACACTGCCGATGAGCTCGGCCCCAAACCAGCGTAATGGCAGTCCAGTGTTTAGATCACTTTGTTCTGGCTACTTAAGCAGCACTACTGGTTGGTATGAACGGTATACAACTCTACTCATCTCAATCAATCGGTAGCATATTGGTTTATGCGGTGGCTTTTTTGCTCGTTTTTATTATTAGTGTGATATTTGTATCGTATATTCAAAGCTAATAAATATCTGCACTATTTCTATGATTCTATCCTAATTTCCTGTAAATTTTCTGAATTTACATTATTGTAGATTCTGTTCCTGTACCGATTGTTGGATCCGCCCCGGTGCCAAGCAATCCTTTAGGCAGTTGTTCTAGAATGAATTCGCCTATTTCTAATATGAATTTAGTATCCCGACCTACTGCTGGCAGTGCTGTCACAGATTCACCATTAAGATTAATGCGTACACGGTGTACATCTCTGACAGTGTCTTCAATTGGCGCGAATAGTTTAAGTGGTGATGGAAATATGCCTGGTGGTGGTGGTGGTGGTGTTAGTAGTAGTAGTAGTGGTGGTATACGTCTCCATGGTTCTGAATATCAGCAGTCACAGGCGAACAGATTACGATCTCAGCGTGTATTACAACAACAACAACAACCACATCAATCACCACAACTACGCATTTTTCAACCAAATAACCAGTCAGGAATGTCAACTCAAGGTCCTTTACGCAATTCACAATTCCAGTCAAAACATATACCACAAAGTCATTATCCATCATCATCTTTATCTCCACAACATCATTTTAATATGCAGCGTCAAGTGATTCCTTCACCTAGTGGGTTAGCTGTTGGATCAAATCGAAGTCAAGAGTTAAACAATTCATCACATTGCCTTAGTGCAAGTTTACCGGTGAATGTTAATCCATTATTATGTGGTCTACAGGATCCTGATATTAGCGACATAACCGATGATAAGGTAAAATCTTTGTTAATATATTTTATTCATAATATCCATAATAATAATAATAATAATAATAATTGTACAGTTATCCATTCTTGATAAGCTGTGTGGTTAGCACAGATTTGTATGAAGACTAATTGCTTATACTGTAACTAGAACGGTGCACTGTAATCAGTCAGCAAATATATATATATATTGTCTGCAGGTATTACGTCACAACTGCTTGAATAATAAGGAGCCATGGGAAAAGTTAACTGCCAGCAAAAACGAACTTCGTATCTATGTGCACTTTTTTCTCCTCTGGTTATTTTAATATGAATGATAAGATTGATTTAAGTAAGTTTGTAATGACGCTAGTAATCTTGAATAAAATGATTGTTGCATCATAATGATTGAGTGTGATGCAGACAGGCATCATCACATGTCAGGTCCGACACATTGGTACAAGGTGATTGTTCTATGTAAGAAAAAGAATATATCATAGACTGAAGATAGTATGCTGAATATGATACTGAGTATTATATTCGTTTGTGTTATTATATTGTGTATAGAAAGTAAATTTTCATGAAATTCGTAAATTCGCTTCTCTGTCTCGTTGGTTTTAGACAACAGACATCCAACCAAACCATGTGGGTAGAGAGAGATGTAGCTCAGCGGCTTAAGTACTCGACTTCCATCCAATGGTTTTTGGGCTTGAATCACGTCCCGGGTAATCCAGCTTGGGCAACTAGGTGGTAGTATCATCAGCCATCACAGAATAAGTATGTGGCCCATAGTCAGGTACCGGCTAACTGAATTCTAATTAACTAACCGTGAGGAGGACTTAACACAGTTTCAGGCAGTCGTAAAGTATCATCAGCTAGCTATATCATACGCAACCTCTTTTACCTACCTGGGAAGCATCGTTTCAACTACAGGCGGAACTGACGAGGATATCAAAGCAAGACATGCTTTCACTACTCTCAAGTCTGTATGGAGGTCAACAGCATTCAGCATCAAAAATAAGATCCGGATTTTCAACTCCAATGTGAAGTCAGTGCTACTATACGGACCAGAGACTTGCATTGCGCGTCATAAAGAGCATCTCAAACAAGCTACAGACCTTCATTAACAGATGTCTTCGCTCAATACTTAAGATCAGATGGCAAGAAAGGATCAGCAACAGGGATCTCTGGAAGTGAACCAACGCATCAGGGACCGATTGTGAAACAAATAGGCAGGAAGAAATGGAGATGGATTGGTCATACTCTGAGGAAGCCATCAAGTGACATCACTAGACAAGCCATTGCTCGAGTGGAACCCGAAAGGGAAGCGGTGAGTTGGTCGTCAATGCAAGGGTGACTTGGAGGAGGTCGTGTGAAGAGGAGATGAAAAGGTGTGGGCAGACTTGGAGCCAGGTGAAGACTGTAGCAGAGAACTGAACGCAATGGAGACGCACGGCTGAAGCCCTATGTTCCTCTAGGAATTAAAGGAAACAATAATAATAATATCATACGTGAAAATATGCAAGTAGGCTGTGAATAACATTTTTTCAAGATTTGTAGTTGTGCAGATGACATTCGTAAACAGACTACAGCACATATATTTCCTGTATGTTTCTCATTTTGAAATGCTTGTGTAATGCCTGTTTTTTGATAATCTCTCCTCCTTCAATGTATCGTTATTAAAGTAAGGCAAATTGTGAACGCTAAAAGCTTTCTAAAAGTTGTTGTGCTAATTTGATTTAGTCACTTTATTCAATCATCCTCACTTCTCAGTTGTTAGCCCTTCCTAGTGATGTGTACCTATTTGTTTTGTGTATGGATATCTTAGTACTGTTATATACTGTATAAATAACACCGTTAACAGCAGATTGAGTTATTTATTGGCCTATATTACAATGCATATAAATGAAATACTCAGCATCGAAACCAATCTGAGTTGTACAAATTATTTCCACTTTTTATGAACACGTAATAAACTATCTTTTACATCTTTTTAGATTCGTTTTACATTCTAAGGTATTTACTTTAATTTGTACTTTGAATCGTATTTCAGACTCTTTGAAAGCATCTGTCGACTGACTCCTCATTGATATACTAAGGTGTAATCTAATTGTTCATTAAACTAATTAATGTTGTATTCGTTGGTTGACGGTTATTCACATTTTATAAGTGATGACTATGATTGAAAAGTAGTATATGTGCCGAAGTTGTAACAGTATACAAACTAGTTAGTTATCTTTCAAAAACGTTAGTTGAAATATGATTAATTTGAAAGGCAATGTTAAAGTTGGTTAGATAAAAACTTATGAACTCTTTGCTGCTGATGCCTTGAGAGGTTTAGTTTATGTCTCTGGAATCATCAAGAAACTAGGATTCTATAAAACTGAATCTTTTGCTATTAGTGATATATGCATGTTCGTTCATCGTGCGACAAATATGTTTACTAACTATTGTCTAGTCTTGTTTGTTTTGTTTTGTTTTTTAATTTTAACGCGAATGTGTACTAATTTTCAGTGTCACCTAAGCGATATTTCTACTTAATACTGAATTACCCATTTAAAGAATGAATAAGAGAAAGCAAAAAAAAGAAAAAGAAAACTGTATTAGTCATTTATTATTATTTATATATGAAGTAAAGGAAGGCATCATGTGTCATGTGTCACGTTTGTTTAAATTGAATTCTGAGTTGTTCTCCTCAAAGGAGCGGTAATAAGATAGATTCACTGGTGGTAAAAAGGATATATATTACCAATCTGTATATGATGATGAATAAAAAGAAAATCCGAATATGAATTGTTTATCCGACAAAATATTCGACAACTCATCAGTCTCTTCTTCAGACTATCATATTCGCCACAACTTGTATGTATTTAAATATCAGGTGATTCTTTTGATTTATTATGACTGCATTGTATACTTAAGATGGTGACACTAACTTCTATTTTAGTGAGTACTATAAACCAATGAAATCAACAAGTATTAAAAACAGTAAGCGCGGTGTAATGTATGTATGTGTGTGTGTTTGTAAAAGAGCGACAGAGTTCAAAGGAAAGACAAGATTATACTTGAGAGGTTTTTCATACACAATTACATGATATCGGTGGGCCAATATAATATACTTTTAATAGATGGAAATCCTGTGCTTCATGTGACTCAAATAACGAAAACAAATGCTTATTTTTAGTTTTATTGAGTCAGTTTTTTATTGCGTTTCCAATCGATAAAGATTGCAATCTTGTAATACCATCATGAAATTAAATGGCAATATTAAATAGGATTGCGCGGAAATTTCAAATATTTGTAGCGAAGATTTGTTGGAATGTAAGAAAAAAAGAAAGAAGTTTAAACCTGTCTTATGTAGCTGCTTTAGGTTGACAGCTGAGGTAACCTGACCTCTAACGTTTACTACTTCTATTTTTAAAACACAATCATGAAAATATTAGGTTCAGTATTATATGTGTATGGTCTTTCATCAAGGGTATGGAAATATTAAGGTACTTCATTTGGAGTCGTTTCGAAATCAGTCCAGAATAAATAACGATGGCGTAGATAAGTTCCTTCCTCGTAATATTTCAGAAAATTTGAGCCGTTTGTCTAGATTTTCCAATAATCTTGTATAACTTCGTTCTGTGTGCCTCCCTCAATGAACTCAGAAACTATTCCTGTGCATTTTGCAGGATATATTTAGTTTAACAGGATTGTGTTTTCTAACTAAAGACGGTATAGTCCCATGTACTCTTGTGTGGGAAATTCGTATCCAACGATGTTGCACGTAATGGAGTGTGGGACCATCAATTACCAGCACGATATCATGGGGTCCTTTGTCTATTTGTCGATATACCTGTGTACTGTTACATTTGTCACTATAGCTGTATTTGTAATGATAATCAGAATTTTAGAGTTTGGAGGGATTATGATCAATTTTAATGTAGGTGTCATCACGAATCTATATCAGTTAGAAAACTATCGAAAACCCTGAAGTACTGAACAGCTGTTTTCTTCCAATTTGGAACTCTTCAACATGCGTCATTGGATTCCAACCTGACTATTCAATAGTTACCTCTTGTAACATAGAAGGCCCTGGCTTCGATCGATGGTGGGTGGGATTATTGGTGTTCATTGCTGAACAGTCCCAAACTAGTATGGGACAGCTTTTCAGTGCTCCATGGTTTTCAATGTTTTCCTAACTGACATTAGTTCTTGAAGAAATCTACGCTAGTATCAATAACAGTATGAATAATTGTGATCTGATCAAGCATGCCCATGTTTATTTAGATCACCATTTAAAGTTATTCAATAAGGCTATTTGAATGAGGTATGAGAAAATTGTTTGTGTGAATTCGATAAACTGCATTGATGATCGATATATTTCAAAATATTTGTCCTAATCCACAACAAATGATAGACTGCTGAGATGGAAAGTATGTTTATCTATCCCGTATCATTTAAGTGAGATTAATATTATCCTCAGGCCCCCTTCCTTACCAGCCCGCATTGTTTCGTCTCTTCGATTCCAATAAAGAATGAGTTTATTTTTCTGTATTTTTTGTGCTTTGAAAGTGACTGGATTGATTTTCCGGGGTGTAGTCGTTACCCTCATACCCAACCTTTCCTCTTTTTTCCGGTTTACAACTGGTTAGTAGACTAGTATACTTGGCGTGAATCCGAAAAGTAAGGCAGATCATTCTGAAGTCATTATGGAAATCTACTGCACTCAGCATAAGGAACACAATCCGGATCTTCAACAATAATGTCAAGTCAGTTTTTCTACATGTTTCAGAGACACTTGGAGCATCATCAATAGTATTTCCAACAGGCTACTGCAGACTTTCATCTACAGCTGCGTTCGCTGGCTCCATACTGAAGGTCAGATGGCTGGTCGGAAGGGATAAACAACAAGGGAATCTGGGAACGAACAAATCAAGATCCTATCACCCAGCAAATATGCCGAAGGTAGTGGAAATGGATTGAACGTACGCTCAGATGACCGTTTAGTGACATCACGTGCCAGGCCAAGCGACGAGTTGAGCG